GGACGCCCTGGACGCATAAAGACATCTTTGTGAGCGCTCCACACTCATTTGAATGCGGGTTCCTTTTTTTTTTTTTTTTAAATGATGTTTATTTTTTATAAAGTTTTGTTAACTTGATGAAAACTTCAGCACTTTTCATAAAGACGCCACTGTGGAGAGAGATTTATAATTGACTACACATCATTTAAATTTGCTTTAATAGTGAAACTTGCTTGTGAATCTCTTTGAGCTGCAGATTCATTTAAAACCAGCTCACACTGCAGCTGTGGGTAATTGACCTGACAAGAATCACCTGTGTGCAGCTCTTTAAAACCCGTCAGGAAGTTTCTCTTCTGATTTCTGAACCACACTCACGTCTGCACAGAACTGGTCATCGTGCTCTAGAATGTTGTGTATTTGTTGGTTTGCCAAGTTTGATACTTTTTGCTGTCGGTCACACACTGACACAAACGTCGTACTCTGGAAAATGTTTTCAGGCTTTCAGGGTCAAACTGTAAATGAAAAGCGCTGAAGAAAAGTCCTCTCGAGGCTGCAGGAGTGTGTTAGTGACATGTATTCACCATATCTGAAGGTTCAGCTGCTTTGTGACTGAATTCCAGACTTAATACTGAAAGTTAGGGACTGAATGTGAAAGATGCAAATGTCGGTTGCGTTTCTAAATGTCTGAGTGAGTTCATGTGAGAAAAACAGAGAAAACAGCAGGTTAATGTCTGAAAAATTCACTGTGAGCGAGTGGACGTGTTGATGAGGTTTCTAACATGTGACGGACGTGAAACTGGAAGAATGCAAATATCTCAGGACGAACATGTCAACTTGGAAAGACGAGGAGATTCCAGAGCTTTTACTGATGAGGGCCGGCAATGAAATTCCCTTTGGGCATTCCTGATATATTGAGTTCAAAACAACGAAAGGGCTTATTGACCTTTCACCTTTGACCAGGAGAATGAAATTAGTTCATCTTCATGTCAAAGTGATGAACAACATTTGATGACATTATCTCAAGATATCACGTTCAAGACAAACATAGACATACTTTGTACCTTTTGACCTTTGGCTACCAAATACTAATTAGTTCATTCTTGAGTACAAATGAATGTTTGTGAGGAAATTCCATCAAACCATTCTTGAGATATTCTCAACTGAAGGGAAATAATGAGGAGGGTCTTGGGGGATTTAATGTTTACACACACGGTGTTGGAGGTTGGGATGATACATGTGTGTTCATGGTTAACGGGAGTTTTTTACATGAATAGTATATGAGCGTCCTCACAGATGCAGGAAGACACAGTTACGTGTGTGTGTTGGCCCTGTGCTCGGGGTCTCGCTGCCAGCTGGACCAGAACATGCTGGAAGCCATGTTGCTCCTGAATATTAATGTGTCCACTCACAGCAGGAGGGCTGCACTCACTGAATACTGATAACGCACTCACGCACCGTTTGTAGGAATAAGCCGGACATGTGTTAACACAGGCGGAAAAAAGAAGGTCACAAGTTTAAATCCTGCAACTGAGACTCCAGTCAGGACCACATGTCCTTGAGCAAAACGCTGACCTGACCTTCCTGCCAGCCGATGGTTTCCAAGACCTTTTTAAAAGCCTGAACTTAAGTCTCGTAATATTATGTTTTTACTTTCACAGCCGCCAGGAAATCTTTCAGTAGAGATCCTAGAAACGTGCTGGAATAATTGTATTATCGGATTCAGTGAGGAAACACACACACATTCTCCCGTGAACTGTGTTTAACCCATAAAAACCTGCAGCACCCCCCAGGCTGCGTCCTCACGCAGTTCATCCTGAGTTCAAGTGAAATCAGTGGCGGAGACTCCAAGGTGAACAAGAAGCTGAATTTTGTTGCACACACACTTGAATTCACTTGAGTCACTCGCCCTGTTTCACTTAATGAACAAACTGGTTTCCAGAAAAGTTTCAGGCTGAAAATCTATTTAAAATCATGGAGACGTTTTTTAACGTCTCATACATTTTCCAGGCCACCTCTCTCAAAGTTTCTTTTTTCTTGTGACTCACACACAGTCTGTGACCCGGCTGATTGCGTATTCACTCTCTGTCTCAGACGCTCTTAGACTCGACCTTCAGGACAGTTTAAGTTGAAGAAAATTCAGGGGCTCCGACATGAGCTCAAATTGAGATTCAGCTCACAGAAATGATTCATTTTAGGCTGTATGTGAGAGCTCTGTCTCCTTTTTACTTTCATCACAGCTCAAAGTAGAGACAGTGACATGAGGAGGGACCTCAGACCAGAATCATCAATCGTTAAATTTAATCAATTTAACAAAATCCTGTAATTTAACAGTTTGTCACACAGACGTCACAAAAACCAAACACTGCCATTGAAACACATTTTGTTGTTTTTAATAATAATCACAGACGACATCTTTAAGAAACATGAATTGCTCTTCAACATCTATCAGCTTCAACATGACTTGGGGTTAACACAATGTACGAATGAGCTTTGGGCCAAATGTCCATTTAATGGATAAAAAGGTTTCCACAGTCCGCAGACACGCAGCATGGATGAATGGATGAATGGTTGTTGGTCTGTAGGTCGGCTCTGTGATGAACTGGTGATCTGTCCAGGGTGAATCTCACCTCCTGCTAATGTCCCCTAGAATCAGCTCCAGGCAAAATGGATGGAGCGGTTTCAGAGGATGGACGGATGTACAAATTAACAGCAAATAAAAATACTTCTACTTTATTTCATTCATGTGTGCAACATAAAATGTAAATTTGTTTTTCTGCCTAAATGTCTGTGCAGCATATGCATTTGTGTTTTCTGCTCTCAGGAAGTTGGATTTAGCAGCTTTGAGAGGAGTGAATGTGCTCCTGAGAGAAATGATACAACTTCATCCTGTGAAGTCTGGCAGCTTCTGCAGAAACACCATCACATTAAAGCTGGAAATTCATTCATCTCGTTTCCCCAGAGAGACAGATCTGTATTCTGTCTCTCCTCCACTGAGAGGTCAGAGGCCAGTTAAAAGAGAGGTTGGTGGAGTGAAAGAGTGAAATATAAGAGATCCACTGCACAAGGTCAAAACCAGGTTCATGTTGTAGTGCACGTCCAGATCTATCTTTATAAATATCTGATCTGTTGAACTAACGAGTTGAGTCATTACCACGGGCTGTAAATTAAGATGGACGACACGTCTCCACTTCCAACGATGCAGGAACGAAGCCAAAATATCTCGGATATGAATCTAATCTTGTGCATTTAAAGCCTGAGCCTGTGAAGTGGGGGGATGTTGTGAGGTTCTGCCAACACGCAGACTCCACCACCTCCAAACTCATCAAACATTAACACTTGAACAAACATCAGTGTGACTGAACAACTACTTGAAGCTGTGGTTCAGAGGTCGTCCACAGACCAGGTCACTGGTTTGAACTCTGGAGCCCTGCAGAGTGTGTATGTGTAACTCCACCGTGTAGAGGCGCTGTATGAATGTGAAAAATGTTCTGAGGGGCCGATAAAACTGGTTATGTTCTATATTAGAAAGTAAAAGTACATTAACAGAAAACATCTTCAAGTTTATTGAACGTGTATTTTGATATTTTGTCCATATTTCATCTGCTGACCTGGAGGAAGTGGAGTTTATGACGCTGTAATTAAAATGCCTCGGCTGCACTTCGTCCATCTTTATTTAGTCTTTGGTCTAATCCAGCTTCGTCACAGTAAAACACACTTAAGAGTGAAAATATGATCAAACACAGAAAAAGCTTCAGAATCAAAACAGAGAACGAGTTTAAAACAGTAAATCACTTTTAATTTAGTTCTCTCATCGGCAGGTGAGCTCATTTTTAAACATGATGACAAATGAAGTGCATCGGTAGAAGAAGCTTAACAGGATTTGATACATGATTTGATACATGCTCCATTCAGACGCATCCATGAATCCACGTATTACAAGCCAACATTATTACTCAAATAAAACCACGACAGTTCAGCTCTTGACCTGATAGAATAAAAAGATAAGACAGATCCATCGCTAGATACAACGGTGGCAGCAATACACAGGATTGCCCAAGCAGTAAAGTACACGTTCCTTTAAGAAACAGGGAGAGAGAACGCGAAAAAAAACCAAACATCTGGGTTTTTTAATCCCCAATTCAAGTAGTATTTACCCTTTTTTTTCTCATGTGTTTTGCATGTTTTTGATTTGTTTCGTAATAAATTCAAGTTCAGCATGAAAAAAACAAAAAACATGACAAGTCCGGATAATACATGTGGTGATGTAGGAGAGACTGGGTGAGCGGATGAGTGACGTTCTGGATTCCTCGGAGGGCAAGGGCAACGAAAAGCAGCAGGTGAGAAAGAAGAGTCAGGTGAGGAGGAGGAAGAGGAGGCAGCCGTGTGACCGGCGGCTGAGGTCAGCAGGAGGCAGCGTGACTCGACAGTGAAAGCTCTCAACCAGACCTGTGTCAGTTAGCTACAGAAATCCCTTCGAAACGATCGTTTACTGTCGCGTTTAGGAGGAAGATTGAGCGGGAAACAAGTCGAATGAGGGCGATGAATGTGACTCGACCCAAACTCCGACTTAAAATGAACAAATACTACCAATTTCTTCTCCTAGCTCCAAAGCAACGAAGGGTTTTTGTTTAATTTGGGTTTTGTCCAATTCATTCCTGCTGGGGAAAAAAAAAAATAATAATAATAATCAGTGACCACTCAAGTTAATGAATCCAAACAGTAATCTAACTCAGGTTTGGAGCCCGGGCGTCTCACTGACGCTGGGCAGAGTAGCGCCCATCGCTGGGCCCAGCGCCCCGTCCAGAGCCGAAGCTCGGTTTCTGTGCCATGCCTCCTCGGGTGGGGGGGCCTCGGGGGCCTCCTCCACCTCCTATCCGCTCTCTGGGGCCACCGGGACCTCCAGGACCGCGGGGCCTCACGTCCCGCCTGTCGCCCTCCCTGGCTGACCGGGTCTTCTTCTCCTCCACGTTCAGACGGACGTCGCCTCTGAACTTGATGGGCTGGAGAGACGAGAAATAAAATTGATTAAACTTGTCTTATTAAATTATTAAATCAAAATTGGATCCATCTGTTAAAAGTGAAAACAAATCAGTCCCTCTCAGTTTCAACTGAGCAAACTCAACATGTAAGTGCCATGAAATACCACCAGAGGGGCGTAGTGAACAATAATCAGAGAGTGTGGACTAAAACACAAAATGGTCTCAGACAAGTCTTCTTACCCTGTTGCTGAGGATCTTCTGCACGGGCTCAGAGTCGTCAAACACCACGAAGCCAAAGTTCGGCAACTTTCCTCCACTGTTGATCCTCAGCTCCAGGACTGTACCGTATTCTGTGGAAGAGATGGACACAAGCATTTTAGTTCTTCACCCTAGATAAAAACGCAGCGAGATTCGGTTTCAAATATTTCACTTATTCAGGAGTAACGTGAGGAGCCAAGGTCTTTTGAGCTTGTCAGAGTTTTTCTTATCTTATTTTGAACTTTACTCACCCGTGTATATTTTTCATAAAGCAACGAGTCTGTACACAGTTTTAATGTGTGCAGTTTAAAGTGTGTAAAACAGATTTATGGCCACGTTCGTTTCAGTAAAATGAGCCACCTGCTATTAATCTGTCAAACAACTTCCTTATTTAACAATAACACAAACATTAAAGAGATGAACACTTGTAATATACTATAATAAAGGTTACTGTGGTCCCTGTACCAGGTTTTTTCTTTTTTGAGTTGCAGTCCAAGTACTTTTAAATCTGACTTACGTTCAAAGAACTCCTTGAGTTCGCTCTTGTCCACATCATGAGGGACGTTGCCCACAAACAGCTGATGGGCGTCCGGGTACCTGACCACCCTGCGACCCTCCGTCTCGCCCTGCTCACCTTCTCGCACTGAAACAAAAATGAATGAGTCAATACGAGAACACAGGATCACTACACACTTGATGTATTTACTGTGCCTGTTACAGTGTGAGTATACACATGTGCCCTCAGTGCTGTGTGTGTGTGTGTGTGTGTGTGTGTGTGTGTGTGTNTGTGTGTGTGTGTGTGTGTGTGTGTGTGTGTGTGTGTGTGTGTGTACCTGGTCTGGGTCCTCTGTGCACCGGTGGAGGACCTCCAGGCCTCTGTTCCCTCGGTCTCTGGTCTCTCTGTGGTCTCTGTGTTGCTGTCTGGGTCTCTGACTTCACCTCTGCACGGGGCTGAAACAGTCAAATCACTTTTGTAAGAAGAGAAAGAAGGAAAAGCATTTCTGCCCTGCTGAGATTTACCTGCTGACGACTTTGGACCAATGAAGAAAGAACATCAGGTTTCATCTTCAGCAAATACAATTTCCAAAGACAAGTCTCAAACTGAGTTCAAAATCAACACATGCTCTACTTCCACCTTTACTCAGCGCAACAAAGGAGATAAATGTGTGGAAGTGAGACGTCACTGACTGACATGGCTGCTTTGAACGGTCAAGTTTCCTTCAAGTAATTCTGATTGTTTCTGTCAGAGCATGAATTAGTATTTTTAGAGTGGAACACTGCATGTGACCCAATAACATAATCCAAGGGGGTTTTATGGCCATAAATAAAATGAAATAGACGGTGGGATCAGTAATCAGCATGTGTGTGAACATGGACTACCACAGAAAACCTAATGAGGACTTTCCTCTGCATGGATCAATGTCCCTGAAGGAAAAGTGTGAAATGTTTCCAATGAGAAATGTTTTTCTCTCAAAGACTGAAAAATATTAACCAATCAAGTGGTTTATATATTAAAAGGCTGAACTACAATGACACTTAACATGGTATAGTAGGATGTGATCATGTGTAATGATTCTTTGATACAGAGTTTTCCTACACTGTTGCCTTAGTTTCATTTAGTAAAATGCTGACACATGTCGAGCATCACTGACCTTTAAGGCCGGTCATGAAACCAGGTTTTTAGAGAGGAGGGTGAACGTACCGGTGCTGCTGGAGTAGCTTTGACAACATGTGGGGGCATTCCTGTGACTGGGACGGCCCCACTGAGTGGGAGGTTCTTACTGGTGACGGACGCCCACGAGAAAGACTGCAGAAAAGATAGAAATAAGGACACACGAGAAAATTAGGGCTGATTTAGGATGAATATCGAACACTGACATTACACAGGTTTCCCTTTTTTAACATAATACATGTGAGGTGTCATTTGGATTCAGACCTACCCTGTTTTCTTCTGGGGCGGCTGGGGCGGGTTCGGCGGGCACAGAGGCTGGTTCTGTAGTCGGTGGGGCGGCAGCGGGGCTACTGTCTGTCTGGTCTTCAGTCTTGGGTGCGTCTGTCTGCGTCTCCAGCAACGTCTCTGACTTCAGCTCCACAACTGCAGCCTCTGCCTCCTTTTCCACCTCTGGCTCCGGCTCTGGACTCGCTGCCGCCACTTCATCCTCGTCACCAGGAGCCGCCGGCTCTGAACTACAAGGGACAAATACAAGAGTTATACAGTGAAGGAGGCAAATGTACAGTTACAACCCTGGCTTGTCTGCTGCTTAAATAAACCAGAGCAATAAAAGATGTGTCTAAAGATCCGTTGCATAAATTAAGGTCAGATAAAAACTTTGTGTCCAAATTCATTCATATTTTTTGCAGCTTTAAGTGCTGTGCAATAAAAACTGTCACACAAGTTCAAAAGTAGCACATTTCCTTTTACGTTAAAGTAAAAATGTTCCCTCAGCGAACACTTAAAGCCTCATCTGAATAACTGAAAGTGATTTGCAGAATGCTCCTTCGGGTGAAATAATATCAGGTTTTTAAAATCACTTAATACAACAAACGGCCTTGGAACAAACCCAGAAAGTCTTCTAGCAGCACTATTTTTCACACTTCAGGGGAGAATAAAGATGTTTTGCTAAAGGTCACCTGGGAGGAGACGTGTGACCATGAATAGAAAATGTGGGCGTTTTTTGCAAAGTGGACTGTGTGAAGAAAAGTGAAAACCCCAGAAAGCTCTGGGAGTGAGAGGCCCTGGATCGTACCAGGCTGTCTGGTCGTAGAAGGGAGCCGACTCCTCTGCAGCGACGTCAGGGGACGGGACCCTCTCCTCGATCTCCTCCACCTCATCCTCAGACTCTGATGAAACACAAACACGTTTAGGACAGCGGACAACACGTCAACCTTTTTACAGCTCATAAATACCCACTGTATTGTCCATTTAAGTCCCATGAAACATGGACCAAAATTAACTCACTGACATTTTCCAGACATTCTACTAGGGGGCTGGCTACTGACTCAGACATTCGTGTTCTCACAAACAGCCCTCCAGAAGATTTCAGGAAAATCCCCAAGCTTCATTTCTGAAAACAGCTTATAAGATATGAACTGAAAAGAATTGTGGCCATTACTTTTTCTAGAATAGTGGAATATTTGTCTCTTGTGTTTAATCCTGGGACTTCAATTTCTTGTGTTCTATCTGTGTCTTTGTGCAACTTCAACCGTATATTCACAAATCAAACATTGTCATGGTCTTTGAGTCCCTGAGCAGCTTCCACAGAGCGGTTAGAAGAGAAAAGATCAAAGTGCTGATATGAGCTCAACAAAGAATGAATGAGAAACTTTCCTCTGTAACATCATTCATCTTTGGAAAAATAATACAGAGATCAGACAAACCGTATCTACAGGGGAGATGGAAAGGAAGCCACAGGAACTAAATTCAGCCAAGTGAAGGATGAACAGTTTTATTCACATCAGGAAGAATGTTATCTCACCTTCTGGGGGCTCAGAATCAGAGTCGCCAAACACCTCGTCTTGGTAACGAAACACGTCATTGTGGACGTAGAATTTGTTTGGAACGGTGCCCTGAATGAAAAAAGGTATTTTAGACTTTACGGCGTGTCATACTTTTTCTGCCAAAAAACACAAGAGCATCAAATCTGATCTAGGAAATGTTTGGTTTTGCGGAAGAACACGACGAACCTCGGGCGCCAGCACAAAGGTCTGCATGAACTTCCTCATGGGCTGCATGTTGTTGGACAGCTCGCCCATCACCTGCACCACCACGCCTTCGTTCAGGGTGGCGTGGGCGTCCACGTGCCTGATCTTTGTATGACAATCCCGGAAACTCAGAGCCATGACCCTTTTATGGATCTCCTGTAAAAGATTAATATTTTTAAAAAAATCAAGTTTTTCATGCTTACACACTTCCTAGAATAGTTTACTGTTGACTATTTAGGTCAAAAGAGCAGATCTGGGATCCCACCACTAATGTCTTAAATTGATGTAATTATATTATAAAGTGTATTTTGCCAATTAAGTTAATCTTGTATTGTGTGTACAACACAATGTCTCCCTGTATGTCCCCATTTTACTGCAAGCAAACAGACAGAGCTGTGGCACGTTGCTTTCCTTTTCTTTGTGTGGTCGACACGGCCGAAGCTGTATCACATAAATGTTTGCATGCAGCCCAGTTGTTTTGTCCCCTCTGCTCTGTGTCTGTACGTGGGAGTGAAGTGCGGCGCTTCTCTATGGAAACAACATTTATAAAAGCTGTTATCTGCTGGATGAAGCCCACTTACAGATTGTCCATAAACAGCCTCGGCTGGTTTGCCGTTGCCGTCCAAGCCGCCGTGCACGTAGGAGGAGTTCTTTCCATAAAACCTGAGCAGAGAGACGAAAGGTTAATTTGAGTTACAGACACATGGGAACAGACGTGTGCTCACAGTTGCACATTAATGTAATGCAAAATTTAAATCACAGCAGCAGAGTCACAGTTTCATCACATGACAGTTAAACAGCTGGTGGTTGTTACCTGTGCAGGTAGTCGGGGGCCTGGTTCAGGAGTGTGTAATACTGTCGGACAAACTCTCGCCCGACCAGCTGGGCACTTGGCTTCTCCATCACCATTTCTTTGGTCAACTGGAAATGTCTGAAAACAACAAGAGGATGTACAATGATTAGAAAATGAATCAACCAAACCTTTTATAAATCCATTTATTGTCAGTTATTAATTAAACACAAACGAAACACTTTCTGGTTTCGCCAATAAAATACATTTTCTATCGATGTAAAACGGATTACTGGCTGCTATGACAACAGCTGTGGTAACCATAGAGATGGACAACAATCTGTGTCTGTGTTATTACATACAATACAAAAAAACTTTGTCCGTTGATATGAAAAATGCTTCATTTAATAGAAATGATGCATTTCTTAGAATTTACAATCATGTGACAATGAATCATCACCTGTCATTAGTCGTCAGATTCAGTTCCACTTGTAGTTTGATTTGTCAAAAACAACTTTATGAAAAAAAATATATCGAGTTTTCATGCAGCTACTGAAATATGCAAGAGATCTAATTCAGTCCCTGGTTTAAGTGTCTCAAGGGGATCCTCAAACAGAAACTATTGAATTCTGGGTGGAGCTGTACATTCTGTGCATGTTACCAACCCTCCTGAGCTGCTGAACTAATATTCAGAGAAGCTGCTTTGTCAGATTTCCATTTAACACTTAACTGCAATGGTGGGAAAACATCTGGCTGATGAATAATGGGATGTCCCAGCCACAGAATACCTAATGCTTTGAAATGGGTGCCGAGCCGAGATAACAAACGAGGACGACTTGTTAACAACCCTGCTTCAACAGAGCCACACAACATCTCACCTACATTTTATACAGTAGGTGTGATCCTGTGGTTTACGTTGGCATTATGTGCAAGACGTCACCTACATTAAAATGCAGCACAGTAGCTAAAACCTGTCAGACCTAATGAATCACCCATTTAACAGGTTTCAAGTCTGTGCGAGGTTACTTACATTCTGTGCCGACATGATTTGAAATCTACGTATGTCGGGAAGGTGGGAAAAACAATGTGTCTGTGTTAAAAGGGGAATATCTGATATTTAATAGCTTTGTAACGATCCCACAGAACGGTGTAAGTGGTACAGTCTCAAAATGAAGCCCAGTGGCCATATTGGAAGTCTTCCACCATATGCAGTTTTCTGTATAGAAATTGGTTTACTTATTACTAGGTTACACTTTTTCCTCACCGAGGTTGAGGGTTAAGGGCGGAGGAAGTTGCACCTTGTGCAGGTTGTTAAGTGCTTTGAGGAAAACTGATTTGTGAATATTAGCTTTTCAAGAGCTATGCAGAGCTGTGAAAGTGGTACAGTCTCAAAATGAAGCACAGTGGCCATGTTGGAAGTCTTGTACCATAGTTTTTGTACCACAGGGCTGTGTCACACACAGGACACAAATTGTTTGAGACAACACACAGATTAGAACTGTCAGCAACGGTGTTGAGTTCAGGTTTTTAGTTTCAAGGCAGCTGAAACATGCACAACACCGGTGTGGTCGATCAGCAACAACCAGTTTGTGGGACTGTCTGCCACACCTGCAGATTTATGTTCACACACAATCAGAGACCGACACACAACCGGCAAACATGGAGTGAGTGGCTCTGAGGTGCATTAACACAACGAGCCCTGCGTGTGCTGGGTCACACCATGTTTCCAGGAGGAGGGAGCTCAGTCTTTGAATGAGTCCAGGTTTATTTGCAGAATAATCGCTTATAAGGCCATGCTATCCCGCAGCAGCCATATCAGAGAGCAGCTAGTGTGGAGGTGCACACATGGCACCCGGACAAAGGACACGGTGTGCCCGCAGTGACGGTGCCATCCACCGGCCTTCGCACGCTCGTCACCCGGTCACGGCGGCCCCGCAGGTCGGTGTGACTTCAGGGGAGAAATTCCTGATTTAACCTGGGTTCATGGCCCCATGTGTGGTTCACCGGGGAGCTGGAAACCACAACAGCTGGCCGAGCTCAGGGCCCTCACAGCGGGGCAGACCCGGTTACAGGAGCAGCCCCAGCACGTGTCCCGGCCGGCCACACTTCTACCCGACCCCGGTGAGCTAATTAGCCTGTTAGCTAAGTTGGGACGAAGATAAAAACCGTACAGTAGACACGGACGTTCGTCCAAGAGGCGAAATAAGGAGGACAAGAGGAGAACAGGGCGGTGAAGGGAGACATGGAGGGAGGTGAAGAGAGGGAGTCACGACTGAATGAGCCACAAGTCGGCTACACATGAGCGGTGGCTATTTCCTGGAAGTCCATAGTGTAACAAGGCGGCAATGGCGGCGGTGACATCAACATTAATTCACAGGGACACACACGACATCTCCCGCTGTTGTTAAAATCACATCTGCACTAAATGTTTGAAGTTTAAAATCAATTAAAAGCGTCTAAAAACCGCGATGTGGCTGAAGGTGGCTAGCATCGCCACTCCAGGATATAGACGGGGCCCGTTGAGAGCGACCCACTTACTCAAACGGAAGCCATCGCAGAAACGGAATGAAACGTTTCCGTTGCGGCGCGGCGGCGGTTAAAGTGTGAGATGAACTTACCGATGAGTCGATGATCAAAAAATAAAAAGTGTTGGATTTTGAAACGCGTGATTTTTTTTAACGATCAGCTCGGGAGCGTCTCCACAACGTGCTGCTCAGTTACCGGTTTCAGCCCCGCAAACGCACCGCGCCCGCCCACTTACCACGTTCTCAGCCAATCAGGTCCGAGCCCCGCGACCCCTCCGCCAATCACGTGAGGGTCCCGATTACACAGCCAATCCCGATGACCCGTGTCTCGACCTGGAGTTCTGAGGAGAACCAATCACATCAAAGCAATGATGGAAGTGTGTTTGTTTCACTCCCTGGCTTCTGCCGGTTGATTTTTCACGAGCAGCGGGCGGTGCACCGGAACCGCTTCCCCGCGTGGGGGCGACAAAAGCGTGTTGAGTGTCTGAAGTGATTTAACTAAACTTATAATGAGTCGTTTAGTTTGGTTTAGTTGAGTTGAGTTAGTTTGATTTGCTTTAGTGTAGTTGTCTTAAGTTTTGGTTTAGTTTAGTTTAAAAAAACAATGAACAATAAAAGAGAAACTTAAATTCACCTTTCATATCAATACCATCATGTAGATAAAGATGTCCGTCCCTTTTTTTGATTTCCTTCCTTTCACAAACCAAAACAAATCAATTATCTGCGAATCAGTAGCTTTCATCATAACACGTGTCGCTGGTGTGACTTCACCTTTGACCTGCAGACAAACAGATCCAAACTCACCCTTCACTAATCATCTTGAGTTTTCAAACACATCTCATTCATGAAGGTGGATGAAGTTTGTTCAGGAGCAGTCGAAAGCTCAGGGACAACTGAGCAAAGTAAGTCAGGACACTGTCAAAGGCCCAGATTAATTTAGCTCTTGTGAAATAGATCCAATAATCCCAGATTGGCTGTGTGAGGTATTTACACCAGTGGTTAGACGAGAGGAGAGATTCTGTGTTAAAATCTTGTTCTGATGACCTGAGTTGTTTTTTAATTGTTATTTAATTATTATATTGGGATGAGTTGTTATAAAGTTTCATCAGTTTACTTTTTACTTCTACTTTTTCTGCATCTCAAATCTGTGAAAACATTGATTGTTTTCATTATCAATACATCTTATATTCTTGTGTTTATTAATAGATTTTGTAAAACCAAATCAGTGAAATATTCCCCGAGGCCAAAGTTGAAATGTTTTGGACCAAAATCTGAGTCTGAGGACAAATAAACTAAGGTTCATATTTGACCCATTTCTTTGTGGTTTAGCTTCAGAGAAAACGAGTCTGTGCCCAGAACTTTATTTAAACACAGTCTCACACGCTCCCTCCTTCGTCTCAGTGTCAGACTGAAGGAAACAGGAACGGTTTTTTTTCTCCTGCTGTGGCTGAGAGGAGGGACTCTGGGCTTTGTGCACCAGGCTCGGCTGTTGTTTCACATTCTCGACACTGGAGTCTGGATGAACGGGTGGAGATGGTAACAGGGTGCTCTGACTCTACGGTCTCCCCAGGGAACCACGAGCAGCTCCGTGCACAGTCGCACCCTGGACTCACAGAAGAACAGACACGGCAGCAACTTCAACCCACAGGCTGCAGATACGCTTCAACACAAATGATTCAATCATAAATGTCAGTTTTATTGTTTGAAGTGTTGAGTGTGCAACATCTATCTAAACCTTTGTCTTTTAGAACATCTTCTTTCGAAATGTTCTGTGTTTGTTTGACTGAATTTTCAGTCTCTCTGACTCAATTCAAACATATTTGTGCATTTTGCTGTATTTCATATATTCTAAGCTGCCTTTACTTTGCACTGTACATTCAAAATGTGTAAAAAGTCAGTTTCCACATTAAATAACATGATCATAGTGTATTTTATCTACTTCACACCCATTTTAGACTTTTTTTATGAAGTTGTAGGTTTGTAGTAGTAGTACACACACAGCTGCTTTTTCAGGAGTTGTATAAGTGTACATGTACATTATGTTCACGACCTGGACGACTGAGGATCTTCATGTACACACAGCTGTTCTCACTCAGCGCCTCAGTACACCACGTTCTCCGAAGCAACTTTTCAACTCTGTCTGACTTCGATAGTCGTGTGTAGTGTGCTGTAAATAAAGATGATGAGTCTCCACTTGAAATGAAGCCAAACTATCTCGGGCACTGGTGACACCATCTTGTGCAGGTGACATCACAGTCTGTGCAGTGATCGTGGGGTTGCGTCCATCATTCTCAGCTGTCAATCATGATGTCTCACTCTGTTTTTATATCACCAAATAACCTTAAATGACAGAAACCATCTTGTAGGAAAATTAATTAGATGTTTACTTGGATTTTTTTGTTTGGGTTTAAGACCTATACTGCTGCCAGCCACTAGGGGGTAATTCAGGTGTTTTGGCTTCACTTTTAGGGAGCTGTCATGTCGTCCATCTTTATAAACCATCTGTGATATTAACACTGAAACACTTAGTGCGAGTAAATGTCTATATCACAGCAGGAAAATGAGACGTTAAACCACTAGCAGTGACCTAACTGAGAACATTTTATTTTACAGCTTCTCAAAAGGATGAACTGCTGCCTACACAAGAAAGCTTAAAATTAATACAACTTTTTCAAAATTAGAAAATTTAGCTGAAAAGCTGACAAACAACAAGAAAGTGTTTTTATTTTTAGGTTTTAATTTAGGTTTTAACAACTTCTGAACTATAAGTGACTCTTGAGGATGAGACTTGTGGGAAACGTTTTATCAAGAGAAAGTTTTTCTTAATAATAATCCCCCAAAAAATCTGTCACTACATTGAAATTCATTAAAATCCTCCTCTTGAACAAACGACCTTCGTATGAGTCATGATCTGATTTGATCCCTCGTCACTTCATCTCAAGCAGAGGAGAAAGAAACGCAGATATTAATGCATGCAGAGATTTCAGGATCTTTCTTTTCATAGTCTTTTATTCATGGAAGGTGTTTTGGTCGTGCTCTCAGTGTCAGTAGAAACATGTTATTATTAGCGAGAAAACACTCAACCTGCGAGATTTTCCCCTCAGTGAAACGTCCAAAACAACATATCGTCTTTATTGCTTCAAAATATCAGTACACGCGTGTCCTCGTCCGGGACACGGAATCTGTATGGAAAATAAAAACGAACAAGCAGTAGTCAAAAGATCAAAAACCAAAATACACAAAATAACGAGTCCACCACCAACAGAGTGCAAAAACTATAAAGTTGTTTTGTAGAAAGCAAGCAGAGGGAGCATTTATTTAGAAACTTTATTTTGGACTTTACAGTTTTTGTCTCCTCAATAAAAAACGTTTCAAATTGTTCTCCGTTTAAAGCCCTGAACAGATCATAGCGTCTAAAATAATATCGTCAACAACATACATTTACATCAGAGGTCTTTAGTTTACTTTACTGGGAGTTTTGTTCAACAAACAGGAGAATTCAAAGTTAGTACAGACTGTGCACGTTTCTCTTTTGTAACCTTTTTAGTGGTATAGGTAGGAAAAGTCATTATTTAAACAAAACAAAATAAAAATAATTTGCAATTAGCACCGTTACTGTGATTTTTAACTTAGGGATCAGCACCTTGTCCCGTTAGTAGCGACTAGGAGTTGTCAGACTGCTGCTGAGGAGCTTAGATGACGAGGTCTTTGTCCACATCCTCTGCAAACACAAAGATTCACAACATCCGTCAGTCAAGCATCTGAACAGAGCGTCAGTGAGAGTGTGAAAGTGTCAAAAATATACAATAGATGAGTAGAAGAAAGTCGGGCTGGGCAATAAAACAATAAAAGAATTATCACAATATACCTGTCATCAATAGCAATGTAACAAAAGTCCAATATATATCGATATGTTTCTCAAACATTGTGTAAACACAGTAGTTAAAAACTTATAAATGATAATTTAACATCACATCTCAAGCTTAAAGTGAAGACGTTTACTTCTGTTACTGTCATAAACACATTTAGAGGTAAACTTTCTTAGTGGTTTCATGATTATTGTTGAGTTTGCACGGTCAACACTCACGCTCCTTGACGCCAAAGCAGGCGGCCCACTCCTCCAGGGCGATGTATTTGTCGCTGTCAGCGTCGCACTCCTCAAAGAAGCGGGTGGTGCAATGCTCCATGGGAATGAGGGGGGCACGCAGGGGGGACAGCTCTGTGTGGGTCAGGTATCTGCAGGGAGACGCACAAAGACACACAACGACACAAACACGTCACGATACTGTCAGGAAACTGAAAATCAATGAATCTTTACAAATCCTCTCTTTGAAAATTCACACTTTAACTCTCAGTGAGTCAAAGGCTGCAGATATTGTAGTTTAACAGGATCGAACATGACTCTGTCACAGTGAAGCCTGAGTTCGGCTCCATCGTTTCATCAGTGAAAGCTGCAGAAATGTGTTTTTCAGGGTTCAGTGCATCTAAGGCCTTTCCCCCTTTATTTTGTTTTCTCCTCTGCGTTCGTACCCGTCGACGGGGTGCTGGTCGAGCTGTCCGAACTGCCAGTGCACGGGGAAGATGTACATGTTGTAGTTCTTCTCGAAGTCGTGGGCGAGCAGGTCCAGAGAGTGTTCGCCGGCCTGCAGCCGCTTCTCGTTCTCGTAGATTTTCTTCACCTGAAACATTTCATCAAAAACACTCAGATACATTGAATGAGCTCGTCAGATTTTCATCACAGCTCAAAGATCAACCCTTTGACCTTTGCAGTAGAAATGTTCCTCCAGTGTCTGCATTGGTATTTGTACTTCCTGTTTCTTTGAGAATCTTTTAATGCTAAAGGTCAAGTCAATAAGTCAGTAAACCATAATAAGTTGTATAAGCACTGAAATTGTGTTTTCAATTAAATAACATATTGATCCTGTTAGAACCTGATGTTTTCCAGATGTTCTTCTTAATGATCAACAGAAGCTAAATCTGCTCTGACGGCTGTGAGTCGTCATCGTATAAACAGAAGTTAAGTGTATAAACATTTCCTCGGAGTGAAAGAGTTTAATCCTCAAACTGTTTGGATTATTCTTTATCTTCAGGTGGTTTTTTTTAAAACATTGTGTTCCTGCAGCACCAGAGAACAAAGTTTAAACTCTAATGTCTTTAACTATTTGTCACACTTAAATTTGACTCTCTCTCTTTTGCCTCTTTATAATGTAAAGGACAAATAGAAGTAATTGTTTCATATGTAATA